TTTTTTGCCGACTCTCACAGATGACTAATTAATACAGCATCGATGCGCGTAATTCTCGTAGAGCTTTTGTTTTATAAGATTGAATTATTTCATGGTAATTAATTTACCAGAACTGCAATAATCATTTTGATTCAACCAATTTGTATCTCTAAAATGGTCTAGTTGGGAGTGGTACTGTTTTGTAGAATGCAAACTTAAAATAGTACAGCTATTTCAGCTTGTTTGGCAAATAGATCGAATTCCGCCCTATTCAAATGTCCCAGCTGCCCTCATGGTTAGGAATATATGGATATAATAACAAAAACAATCATAAAAATAATCCCAAAATACCAATGTATTGTACGAGTACAATTTCCCTAAATGATTGGTTTTATATTTAATATGTTTTATATATACATTATGTATTTTATAAGTCATAAATTAACTCATTATAGACTGTAGTTTATTTATGTATTAAAATTTACTAGTAGATGTATTATTTATTCTCTTCTTTTACTATAATATATCTCCCTCATCATATATCCTACTTATAGCTGGTATTGTTGTCTCCTACTAGTCCAGAGATATGAACAGTTTACTGTTACTTTAACTGACGGTTTTGCTTTCAGTTTCTAGACTATTACATACCCATAGACTGGTCAGAGTTCAAAAACTTGATAGGGCCCTTCGCGTTCATATGGCCGCGTATTTGCGCGCTTAATCTTAAACGGATGGGATGGGATGTATGGATACTGCACGCCAGTGTAGTAGACCGGCCTGGAGTAGAAGTGTTACACTTCTGCGTTTCATCCGGTGAGTGAGGTGGCCGAGGCCTACTTTATGAAAATGGTGGCAACGCATCCTAAGGATGATGCACATGTCCATGGGCGGCGGTTGTCACTTAACCACCGCGGTCGGGTGCGGAGATTTACGTTTGGCGAGAATCTGCTTGGAACGCGACTCTAATTGATGTAGTAATTGGTTTTTACGCTAGCAATGTGGCTTTGTTTCACTATCCTCGACCGGGTCGATGAGAACTTTGCACGGGCAACCCCTATCCTATAGACGAGCGCGTTGGTTTATTTATTTATTAGTCTTTATTACATTTTCTTTTATTCGGAACACAATAGGCGGACTTGATGCCTTTAGGCATTCTCCGTCAGCCAACCTATCTTTAGGCAGGTAGTTTCGGGTCTTGAATATTCCTGTGACTTAAATTGAGTGTGTGGACATTTCCAAGGGCTCATTCATTAACGACTAATTTATTATCGCCAAGTTAGTGTACACTACAAATACTGATGCTCGTAGAAATTAAATAATCAGCTGTCAAATATCATTTGAGTTGACAAAAGGATAGATAAACTCTTTGAGTTGATCATTTCCAATCAATCAATGGGGAGTAATTGTATAAATGTAAATTACATGTTCTCGAAGAATTTATCTTAAGTCGTATACATTTTGTCTCGACAATAAATCGAGCTTATTGTCACAAATTTGAATTGGAAACGCCTGGCCCTTTTTGGGACATGAGACCTCTTTTTTTTCCTAAGCATAAAAATATATTTTAACACAAATACCGAACAGCCGGATGCAGACGCTACGTCCGGTCGCACGTGGACGGAATATTGAGCCTCGATACCCACGAGCAGTTTCATAATACCTATGCGTGATATATGATGTATGAATTATTGGCTTTCTCTTATAAAAATTGGAATCAACGAATTTATAAACGAGTATAAAAAAGTGTTCGACACGATTAAATTACTTTATGCTATTTTGCAGATAATTGAGTGGATCCGTGGCGAAGAACTTCCATTCGCTGATTTGCGTACTGCTACTGACTTACCCTAACAAATATAATTTGTGTTTAAAGTTAGAGTTATCTATCAATCTCAATTGCCAAAATTCTGTTTTAGCATTAATCTCTCCGTGAAAGTCTTCTTTCTTCAAATCAACGATTGGTTTCTATTTAACCTTGACTCATCTTGATTGTAGCTAATGTACATATGTTTTCATTACTATAACCAGAACGTGTCGTGTTGCTGCAATCCACTACTTGAAAGCAGATTATTCACGATAATATTTAAAATGAATATTTAAAACGTTTTCACGCAGTCTTATTTTTTCTGCAATAATGAGTCTATTTTATTTTTATTTTCCCCTTAGAGCTTTGGATCAACCATATACAACGTGATCAAATAGGTTCTACAAAACGCATTCACTTTTATCGCGAGTACCAGGGCCAGATTATTTATAAAAAAATGTCATAAAGTAAATAGTGTAATACAATCTATGTGTTACATTACACAGGATACGTGAACGCTCTTACAGACCAAGAGAAACCTATAAGGTTTGAAGATGAACTTTGAGAGTTAAGAGTTAAGTCTCATTACTATAAGGGCATTAGTGAGTGTAGTAACTTTGTGAGCATAAATGCAAACGTTTTACTTGCATCGGTGTTTTAACTGAAAAACTTTACCTGAGAACTAAAATTCCCCATGATCGTAACATCGTAACGTTGTTTTCGTATGTCGCAGATACGAGATAGATAAAAGGTTGCAGGCCATCGGGAGTGCACAATTTCGCTAAGAGATAAAACTTTTTACTCGAACTGGAAACCAGACTTCATCTTGTCGAAAGCAGCGAACATTACACGGCCGCCTCCTTTCCTATTTCATCTAAGGTTTTCCCTTCCGGGTAGAACAAAGCATATTGATTCTGAAGGTTCTTTTTCTATTTCAATTTCTTCGAAACCAATGAAGACGTTCAAACATTGATACAATCTTCAATATAGCACTGAGAGCGTACATCGGCTGTCGTACAATAATAATGGAAAAAAATATCGTATGAAACATTTCCTCAATTTTATATGAGAGATCCTACATTCGTATAGAAAAAAGAATAACTCGACTTTGTCATTACACATTATGTCACAGATATAGCGCTGATTTTGTAGAAATTTTCGCTTCAGCCATGTAGGTACACAATGGTAGCCATTCGTTGTCAATTATAAGCGTCCCACGCTCGATAAACGATAAACTTTCATGCGATCAAACATTGGAGTTTGTTTTGATTCGTATTCGAAACTTTGCGGGCGGACGGTAAAATAACGAGTTGGAACAGACTTCCCGCCAGTGCAAACTCCATTACCGAAATTAGAATTTCGTTACGAAACGATGCCGAATAACGTTTCATTTGAACTTGATATCTTCGAAGAGAAATATTTTCTGGTTAAAACACAAGGGTGTTATTAGCCGAATGGAAGCAATTTTCCTCGAATAAAACTTATTAGATATCGCAACGGAGCCCGCTGCGGGCCGCGCGAGTATGTGACTCGCATTAATTCGCCAAACTCCAAAAGTATTGTTCGGTGTGAAAGAGCGGACTCTCTGTGCAAAATCGAAGAGCAATTCGATTTTGCAATGAGATACCGCGAGATATTTAAATCTTAATTAGAAAGATAACAGTTGTAGTAAAATTGCTCATGAACATGGTTCATTAACAGCAAGTAAAAATATTGTTAACGAACCACGTTTTTATGACCGTGGTGGTGGATTTAGGGACTCAGTTCTTTAGGGTGTAATGAAGATGAGTATTCAACAAGAGTGATCATTGTCAACTAATTCCAAAATGTAGGTCCGGTTAGGCATATTCTGTGCCACAAGCATTATTCATTTATGTATTTTCGTTTTATAACATTTTTAGTAAAATTTGACTAGATAATAGGTGTTCAAAGTAAGTAGTAAAGTAACAGCCTATACATGTCCCACTGCTAGGCAAAGGCCTCCTCTATACAGAGGGTATCAGGGCATAGTCCACCAAGCGGACTGGCCGACTTCACATATCTTCAAAATATGTATTTTTTTGTTATTATTTCGAAAATATGCAGGTTTCCTCACGATGTTTTTCTTAACCGCGGAGCACGTGATAAGTCAGCATAAGGAGCCGTGATAGCTCAGTGCCCAGGCGGTCGCCTTTAATTCAATATACTCGAGCAACCTGAGTCTGATCCCCGGTGCCGGCACCACTGAAGTTCAAAGTGATTTCTGTCTTTTTCTTCAAAAACAGTTTTTATTCCCATGTTAACCCAAAACAGTTCGTAAAAACAAAGTTTTCTTTCTGTATTAGGTTTAACATTCACTTTAGACTCAAAGTATATATACCTATATAAATTTAAAGTTTATGTAAACTTTTAGACTTCCATGTTTGAAATCACGTCAAATTGTAACGCGGCTGAGGCATTCCCCTGAAGTACTTAAGCCTTAAATACGTAAGCCCGCCGCTGTAACGTAGATTAAGATGAATTGTACAGCTTTATGCTGCGAGAAAGATAATGTCACAAATTGTTCAGTGTTTTGTATAACCTGAGTACAAAATGAAATTTTACTTTCTTAGCAGTTGCCCAGATAATTGCTAAATGGGATGTATGGGTCGATGATAAACATTCTTACGAGGTTATAAAAATTATGTCGTCTTCGTAATATCACTATAACCTTCGCCGTAAAATTTCATGGTTTACGGCAATGTTGACTTGTGGCCGTAAAAAAAAATTGTGAAATTGTTCTGTCGAAGAATTAAATTGCACTCTATAAATAGAAAATAGATTGTGCCTTATCTAAGAAGTCGTACTGTGCCACCTTCGTTCAGTATCTAATATACTGAAGCCTTGCCGTAACGGATTAATCATATTGATCTTTCCTATATCTAGGATCTTGCAATATCCTTCGAGTAATTGGAAACTTCAAACCAAGAAACGGAGCACATTTTCCCGTGAACTAATATTGTCTTTCAATAGAAACTGGAAGACCGTCTTCGCTCATTCACCGATCATTTTAACTAAATCATATATTAAGCGTATTATGACGATGCTATTAATGTGTTGGTAAATTGAATAAATCTGAAGTAAAAACAACGCTTATTGCATTCCCCGTTGTTTCCCGGGGAGACGACCAATGTCTGTCGAATCAACTCGGTTCCACCACATCCTCTAGGTCCAGTTGAACACGATCTTTCGTTTGCAGGTGAAACGCCGAGCGTGCCAGCGCGCAACACGCCTTCGTCACTCTCAGGTCCGCTTACTGGCCCGTTGACAGCACCACTGGTTGTGCCACTTACAACGCCGCTCGCAACACCGGTACGTACTCCTGTTTTGTTTTTTATTTACTTTTTCCAAACATTACCGTATACACAATTAATTATCTGTGGTGTGTTTTTCACAGTATTGTTAGGGATCCGTACCCAAAGGGTAAAATGGGACCCTATTCGGTCCGTCCGTCACCAGACTGTATCTCATGAACTGTGATAGTTAGACGGTTGAAATTTTCACAGATGATGTAATTTGGTTGCCGTCATAACTATAACACTAAAAAGCAGAATAAAAAAATATTTAAGTGGGGCCACCATACAACAGGCATGATTGTATGCCGTTTTTATAGATAATGTTACGGAACTCTTCGTGTGTGAGTCCGACTCGCATTTGGCCCGCTTTTTATATGTCTGCTATCGGTTTAAATACATATTTAACATTTTCTATCGTTATGAGGTGTATTTGTGCAATAAATGTTTCTTTCTTACTCACTTATCTGGTCCTTTTATTAATTATCATCTGGCTACATGGAAGCACTGGCCAGTCCAATCTTGCCAATGAAATGGTCAGTAGAATTCATTAAGTGAAACTGCAGTAACAATATGGAGGTCATGTATAAAAGGGACTAGATTTCATTGTTTTGTATGCACTTGAATTTTCATAGATTGTAATGTGAATTTGAATATAAAATGAATACTTCATTGGATTTATTTAGTGCTAAATTTGATTTTATGCAATAAACAATAACCTCGGACTATATTATTTGTTGGCATATGAATTTGCTTAAATGCAATGAAAATATCCCCGTTTTTCCGCCTTGATATTATTCTAGAAGATGAATCAATCGCTCTACGGGTTCACATGCTTTTTTAAAAGCCTACTTTTTTGAAATACAAAAGTCACAATAATACTCGCCTAGTATTAAAGGGTATGTTTTATTTTCCATCTAAATGACGTCATCACATTAGTAAATGTAATGCAAATGTAAGTGTCATAGGGGTCACGAACAATTCGTCATTGTCATATTCACGCTTATAAATTGAAGAAAGAAACAAGTTGTCCGTTCGACAGCTAAAATTACCTTATCTCAATGGTGAAGTGTAATGACATGGGCCTAAATGTATACAAATATATATAATATAATATAATAAAATATATAATACTCATGAGATACAGCCTGGTGACAGACGGACAAACAAACAGAGAAGTCTTAGTAATAGGGTCCCGTTTCACCCTTTGGGTACGGCACCCTAAAAAACGGATATCTCATTAGCCTTTAGCGCGCAAAATTCACTGTTCAAACAATCACTGGAGTGCGGAGTCGACGAGATTTTCATATTTTATTGCTTCCCAGCCGTCGTCGTTGCACTAAACTGCCAATCGACACTCCTTTGGCATGTCGACCTTGAGTGAACCGCTTAACATCGCTTGAACTCTACCAAGCGTTCGGCGATACAGCAGATAGTGCGATGCGACCCGCCGCGATAGTATAGATATCGCGCTGATATAATGCCCCATCTGCCCCACCCCGCACTCAAACAAACTGGAGTTGGACGGAGCATTGATTGGGTGGACACATTACCGCAAACCACTCCATGCTTTTATTGGAATCGGCGAACCGTTCAGTTTCGCTGGCCGCCGTTTTATGTGTGATTTGTAAACGCTTATTTTGACTCTTTGTTGTATCGCCACATAGTATAAAACAAAGACGTCCCGCTGTCTGTCTGTCCCTTTGTATGCTTAGATCTTTGAAACTACGCAACGGATCTTGATGCGGTTTTTTTTACTAGATAGAGTGATTCAAGAGGGAGGTTAATATGTATAATACATTGCACCCGTGTGAAACTGGGAGGGGGGGTTGATAGTTTTGAATAAACAGTTCTTGGTGCTGAATTGACCGACGATCAAAGTCTTCTTTTTAAGTAGCTTTAAGTAGTTTTTAGTAGCTTTAAGACTTATGGTCCTTTCACCCTCCATCTATTTATAGTTAATCAAATTTCTGAAATTAGTTTAATCATCGAGTCTTAAGACAGAAGTGCTTTAAATAATTAATTCAACAAAGTCACAGAGTGCTTAAGAACAGTTCAAAAATATTCATTGAGCGGGAATTTATTTTCATTACTATGTAAATTCCGAAGTCGTTAAAATATTCATAACAAATTATACTATGTTTCGTTGGGCGCGCTGAAGTTATTGAAATTTTAAATAGTCGCCCACTATGTGCTCGACGATGACGGAAAAGTTATTAAGTTTTCTTGTCACTAACCTGATTTATAAAATTATTTTTTGTATATAAATTATACATTCTTTTTAATAAATAGGTTCTTAGACAGTGTTAAATACGAATTCCATTAAAATACTTATTAAAACATGAACAGCCAATGCTAGAATACTTAGCTGCCTCGCTAATTTAATGTTCAACCTTTGATTTGCGACAAAAGAACCTGCCCTCTTGTCACTTGTATATAACAAATTAAATGTAAACAAGGAACATTCGACCTCTAAAAGTTTTTTAACAAAAAAAAGAACCGACTTAAAATGAAAAGATGTACGTAACTATTGGGTTATATTCAAAACAATGCATATTTATGTGAAAGCAGCAATCGCGTTTGATTTCTTGTCAAAAAATACGCATAAAGATCCGTTGCGTAGTTTTAAAGATCTATGCATACATAGGGAGAGACAAACAGCGGGACGACTTGGTTTTACACTATATTGTGATTAATATATTTGTTGTTTTGCTACAGGTAAGTACGTGGGCGCCGAGAAGCTCGTCTGGCTCCCTGCGGGCAACCGACCTGAACGTAGACGCCATCAAAGAGAAGCTTCTGGACAACCGGATCCCGGAGTCGTGCGTCTAGTGAATTTACTCACAACAATCGTATCACCGAGTCACCTGTTCTGGCACTGAACGTTTAGTCTCGAAAAAAAAATACAGTGAATAGGCGAAAAGTATGCAAATAATTATATAGCTATGGTTCAAGCTGTTTGTTTTAATTAAAAAGAAACGAAACAGTAATAAAGAATATTGTATCTACGTAAAAGAAATTATCGTTGATTACCAAAATGTTATTAACAACAATCGGAACCGTTGAATGATACGAGCCTGTAAAAATTGTTCAATTCACGCCAAAAATAAAACTATACCGCGATCGATTCGAATTAACGAACGAGTCGCAAAAAGCTCGTTTTAAAAATATTAATCGTTCACCCCGTCGCCGGTGACTCGTGATGCGGAAAGATTACTCGGAAATGTTGTGTCGCTGTAATTTTCGCAAACACTATCCTATGTAAATGTAAATTAAATAGATAGAGCCCTAGGGATGATTGTCATCGCTATTCTTCAACGGGACCGTTGGGGGTCCGATTTCGATGATTTTTCCTGTTTTTTATGTAACCTTCTCCCCCTTTATAAATCTTGCAAAGCGTTTCGAGGACATCGGTCGATGTTATAGATATAGCAAACTACTGCTTTCAGTACGTCGGTCGAATTTATGGATGTAGAAAACTACTGCACTATTGTCGGTTGTCGACATGAACGTTTCATAGCAATTTGTACAGTGTACGTTTTATTGCCTGTATCACTTATGTTACCGTCGTTGCAGTAGATGTCTGTTCATAACGGAATCCCATACGATAGAATCTTGACATACATTAAACGGAAACACATCGCGAAATCGGACGCTTGACGCGTAATTTCATAACTAAAATCATTGGAATGAAAAATGCGATTTTGATTTATCAACAGTGAATAATACCTTTGTCATGTAAATAATAGGTTGTAAGCGACTGATTCTTTGCCACTTTTTTACATGTCTACGAACTCTAGATGATAATTTTAGTTAATTAACGAAACAATAAGTGAGTGGAGTCGTCTTTAACTGTAAAAAAAATCATTTTCCTTTTGTAAATAATGTTTGTACCTTGACTTGATAGTTTAAAAGTTGGCTTGAGAGAGTCACCAGTAGAGTTTAAAGAATTTTGGTGCAGGCGCATTCAGAGGTGTTTAGATGTTTGTGTTGTTTAAAATGAAAAAAATATTACTAACATATCAACGGTAATTTCACGCACTCGATTGTTTTCTTTTTATATTTCGGCTTATTTAGTTCTGTTCCAATTGCCTTGTATGTGAAACGAGTACAAATTTCATTAAAATTATAATTTTCCTCAACGAAATAATGAATACAGACACTTTCGCCAGAGTTTTAGTATTATTTGCGTCGATTATAGTCTTGAGTCTTTTTGCTTTACGTGAATCTTATAATATCGTTAATTTAGTAATAGTTTTTTATTTAAATAGCCAGAAAATTTGTGTTGGTATATCAAATCGGTATGTCTGATTTTATGAATGAACACACTAAATAACTACATACTACATATTTACGTCAATACCTTATGACATATCTTCTACAACGTACCATATCAGAAGACACATCTGCGTTGCTCTCGATCGATTTTTATTTCTTTGAAATTGACCGACTGACATTCGAAATAATTTAGCGAATTAAAACTATCATTAGGTAATTTAATTTATGTGTAAGATGTGATTTGTTATTATAAAGTTTAAATAAACTCAAAGAGTTCGCCCTACTGTTGACTTATTTATTTTTGAAGAGAATAAAAGTTGTCTTGGATGAAAAACGTTGTTTTAATAAAACTTTTATTTAGTTCTTTAATATGCCGAGTTCTACTGAGGACGTATGACACTGCTCTTATTAATTTGAAGATGTTCAAATTGAACATCTTTAAATTAATGCATTATGCGTAAGTATATTTTTGTTGTCTATATTTCATCTTAAATGAAATAATCTAAAAGTTATAACGAGCCGTGACAGCTCAGTGTCCGGGCGCTCGCCTTTAATTCAATATACTCGAGCAACCTGAGTTCAATCCCCGGTGCCGGCACCAATGAAGTTTTTAACTTTAAGTGCTGACTTATCATGTGCTCCGCGGTGAAGGAAAACATCGTGAGGAAACCTGCATATTTTCGAAATAATAACAAAAAAAATGTATTTCGAAAATATGTGAAGTCCGCTAATCCGCAGTGGGGCCGCGTGGTGGACTATGCCCTGATACCCTCTCTATAGAGGAGGCCTTTGCCCAGCAGTGGGACATGTATAGGCTGTTACTTTTTATAAAGAGCATTTTTCAGAAGCGTTCAACTGTTCATCATAACATATTATGGGTAGGAAAGCTATAAGGGTGAATATTGCTCAGCACTATTCCTTTGTTTTGGGGGTAAGTGGATAATAATATCAAGGGACACAAGGAAAGTCGTTAGGGCGGGTGCCGCAGAAATGAATCATAATGGCCGCCTCCGTAAGGATCTAGGGGTGTTTCAAACGTTAAATAATGTAAACGGCTATAAGATGTAAATATGCGCTGTCATTTTTGGGCCTCGTTGAAGATTTCCCTTTATAGTGATCTTATTTTTCTATTCTCTCGCAGCTAGTATAAAACAAAATGGAGAAATAAGCTCGCTGAAGAGCTCACCAAATGGAAGAATTTTAAATTTAGCTACGTTGAAAGGTTTGTACAACATTCAAAAAGAGCTATTTACATTTTGTGGACCTAACTGAAATATTATACGAGTACATGATGGCTATATATTGTGATCAAATATCAATTTTACTGTGAACATAAATATCCTGGAAGCTCCCCATGAATGAAAATGCTGACTCAGCAATCAAACCGGTCTTGAAATATCGACCGTTGAAACATCGAACACTACCAGCTTATTCAACTTCCAGTTTCGTCAGCTGTCGAGTTTATTAAGTATTCCATGTTTGTTCTATGTATTCTCATTTATTTATAAAGATGGTTATTTTTTTCTATTTTTTTTTTAAATTCAGATATTGACGAATCGTACAATAATAAACCGAATCGAAATCAATTCACACATAAACACAACGGCGTTTTGATCTTAGTTTTCTATTTGAAGTTAAATAAACCACGATTACATATTAAAAGTCATTTATAATAATTATAACAGCAACTAACCTGTACCTTAAAATACTTGGCAAGATTGCTCGAATCCGAGGGACGTTTCGTGTTCTCTATCGGCATCACGTTTCGCTATTTCTCTCTCATAAACGTAAATAAATTGTCCAAACTTTCGCATAATCCCGTTCGATGCGAAAAAAGCCCGTTTCAGTATCTTTATTTGCCGTTGGACACAACGGGGACCAGTCTAATGTCGGGACTGAAATACGGTCCCGATAAACAAGTCACCGTTGCTTAATACACGAAAGCCTAAAAGATTATTTCCTAGGCTTGTGATTACTGCGCTAAACTGTATTGCCTACCGTTTTACCGAAATAGCTTTGCTTAAATGTAACATTTTATTTAATTATTCACTTGCTTTTTTTTTATACAGCGTGTCTTTACCATCGCGACAATAAATGAACACACATATAGAGGATAACTTTTTAAAATTTTATTAAAGATTTACATTCTTTAAACATCAATATTTACAGAGTTATTAAATTTTCCAAAACAAAGAATTCTCTTCAAAGAACACCTTACGTATAAAACTTTAATGTAAAGTTCATTTGTAAAGGTCACAAACCTTATGAATGGGTTGAATGAATTTAAAAGAGACAAAACATACTGTTAGAAGGAGAGGCTTGTAATGCGGCGCTGTGGGAACGAATGAAAAAGTCTCTGAATGTATGAATCTGAATTTTATTTCATTTTTTACTTAATTAGTTTGTTTGAAAAATATTTTTTTATTATAGTTTTTTTTAACGTTAATATTTTTTATGATTATTGGCAAGTAGCGTTAGACATGTGTTCATTTATTATTGCGGTGGTAATGACACGCTATATATTATTATTTTTTTTTTTGTTTCAGGTAAGAAAATTGTAAAAATTTATTTTGTACGCGTTGCATTGTGGGACTATGTTATAAAGTTCTACTTTATATTAAAATAAACATAGCCACACGAGTTCTTACCGGAAAATAAAAGGCCGAACTAGTAACTTCCGATAAAAGATTTGTTTTAAACATTTAAATATATGCATCACTCAAATACTTTCTGGTATAACATTTTTATGACAAACTTAAGTCTTCTTTTCGTTAATACTATGTAACATAGTAGTATGTAGTACATGCGTACTCATACAACAACGCAAAAACAGATAAAAACACACATCGTCGAGCGAATCGTGCAATTTTCAAAAATCAAAAACTAACTCTGCGTAAAATCTCCGTAACGATTGAACGCATCACATTAAAATCGGGCAAATCGATCGCGGCATTAACATAACGAACAGCTGTGTTGCAAACAAATATTGGAATTCCGAGTATAAATGGAATTTTGATTTGATTTCTTTGCCGTGAAATTTTAATTGCAAATTATTCCGTGATGAAAAACCTCTATCGGGCCCGTCAGAATTTCCGAAGCGCGCTGGGGGACGTGCCTAAGGGCGGCCTAAGGCTCTGAGAATTTCTTTCTACTAAGTACTTTTTGTTCGAGCCTTCTTAAAGTGGACGATATAACAATCGAATGCAAATTTCAAACATGTTTTGCAAAGTAATCTTGATGTTTATTACACCATTGAGGCATTGGTGCATACAATTTCTAAAAATGAGACCATAGAGCCTCTTGTGTTAAATAAAAATGTGAAAGGTCCCTTGTAACTGACTGTTGGTTTTGAGCTGTATCGATTAGCAGAAAAATATTGCAGCAAAATTGCTAAAGCAAAACCTAAAGGTACTAAAAAAATTTTGAAAGATTGTGAGATATGCCACTAATCATAAACTGACCATGATCATAGAATAGTGGGCAAGGGGTTAAGACCAAAAACAACAAGCCGATTGAAACCGTACAAACATCAATTGGTAAGTTAATACGGT